CGAAACGGTACGATTACATGACCTCGAACAGTGCAGAGTCCATGAATGCTTTATCTGTAGATGCAAGGAAGATGCCTATAATACCCCTTCTTGAGTTCTTCCGTCGTCTTTCATAGCAATGGTGTAACAAGCGTCGCATCGAAGGAGGTATGAATTTAATTTGGACTTTAATTAGGTCGAATAATAAGTTAATTATATATATCTTCTTTACAGGGAAACGTTCAACAGTGCTAACCGAGTGGGCTGAAAAAGTAGTTAGTAAAAATGAAGAGCGTACGATAGGATGGTCCGTTTCTGGTGTTTCAGATGCAATATATCAAGTTCATGATTTCAAACATGGTGGCATAGTTGATCTGAGGCAAGAGACTTATACATGCAAATATTGGGAAGGAACTGGGTTGCCTTGTGGTCATGTCATAATGGTCTTGAAGCACTTGAAAAAAACTAACTTCGGACATCTGGCTATAGATGCTTACAAAATGGAAACGTACCGAAGTACGTATGAGGAGCCGGGTTACCCCTTCCAGAACCGTGTGATTGGGAGAGATTCCTGTTGAGATGATGGTTGTTAAAACCCCCGATAATGGATACACGTCAAGCTGGTAGACCGAGAAACAGAAATGGTATCCCTCACAAGGTGAGGAACTATATAAGAAGGTGTAGGTAGTGTAGTAGATGTGATAGTACAACACATAATGCAGCGACTTCTCCGGCATTGGTCCCAAAGAAACAAAAAAAGGCTACAAAAAGTAGTGCAACATCAGGTAGTAACACAAAAGGGAAAGGGAAAGGGACAGAAGGGACTCAGGAGACGCTAGATACGCACGGGACACAAGAGACGCGTTGGAAGAGTGGGACACAGAGAGAAGACTATTGTTCAACGTTTGATTTGAATGATTGATGTTGTACTTATAATTAATTATGTTTTGTTTTAGAGGACATTAATTTTTTGTACTTTGAAATGGTGGTTTATTTTAAAGATGATGGGTAATATTATGATATATTAGTGCATAATTACTAGTACAATAATAACTACTACTCGAACGATAATACATTCAACAAACCAGAAACATATATTAAACGTACAACAACAGTAATTAACTTAAGGGAATTGCAAAGGATACTTTTCGTTCTCTATTGTTATGTAGTCGTCCCTAATTCTTATTTTATCTTCCATACGGTCCTTTTAGATACCAAGTTCTATCATTTCTGCATCCTTGTCAGCAAGCCATTTTTCAGACAGTTTGATATTTTTCTTAGTTTTTTTTATCGAATCCTCATGATCTTTGATTTTTTTTTAGTAATCGTCATCCTTTCCTCAACCTCTTTGCACTCCGCCGCAATGACGTCACGACGTTCAGTGAGAGCTCGAGATGAGTCTTTATCTTTTTTTGGTTTTCTTCGGCCCATTGTAGTTGTTGCCAAAGTATCCTCCGACATATACGGCTCTCTTAAATTGGTGAGGGGGGGGCAAGAAAGGGTCGATCGGATCACAATAAAACAATCAACTTCGTTGCACGAGCAAATAGACAATGTTGAAGATGAAGATAAACTCATTTAAAAAAAAAAATTATAACTCTATACCATAAATCCAACGACCATCCATGACTATATATAGTCCCTTCCACTCCGCAGAGAGCTATTGTCAGTCCGCAGAGCTTTTTGTTCGTCCGCAATAATGTTTGTCAGTCCGCAGAGCTTTTTGTCAGTCCGCAGAGCGGTTTGTCTAGTCGTTGTCATCCATACATTACAATTATGGGAATACAATTATTTATTTAAAGGTAAACATTTTTTATTAAAAAGTGAAGAACGCCAACAGACCATTACAACTACGGTTAACATAGAACTGAATACAAATTAATATTCGTTGTGATCCATACAATACAGTTCAATTGAATTGTCATGGAGGTAAGACCACAACACTTTCAACTGGTATTTCCCAATGCCTAAGGGTTGGAATAGGATTGACCGTCTCAGTTTGATAAGCATTTCGATACACCACTATAGTTAACTTTAAATTTACCATTTGCTGGATTTCTGCAATTTCGAGTATTTGTAGTGAAGCTATAGCATGCTCACAAGGTATACCACATTTTTGCCATTTACCGCAACTACAAATACCACGGTCTAATTGGACAGTTTCGGTTGTTGAATATTTAGTCACTTCGTATCTGTCGCCAACAATATGCGTAATCCTACAACCGTCCGGGTGGATAAATCTTTTATGTATCACCTTAAGTGCATAAGGGGTTATTAGACCATGAAAATCCCCTGTGAAATGAACTGAATCAAAAAAACAAAAATTATGATGTCATAATGGTATAAAACATATCAATTCACCATTTGAGTGATGTCATAACTTATAATTACCTCCAAACGCAGCACGTTGAAGATAAACTGCTTGCATCGAGTCATGGACCATTTCAATGATTGTTGTTATTGGAAACTCATGTGTGTTTGTTTTAAACCAATTGACAACAACGGGAATGTCAATGAATTTAACATTGAAACGTACTCTTGGAAAACAAGCTCGTACCCATTTTGCAATGGGAATATTGTCAAGCCAATCAAGATCATTCCCATTAACCTCATTTTTTAAGTTGTTCAAACATGCATAAAAATGAGATAAATTATACGCTTTACAAGTCTTCTAGAACAACTGCTCTACGACTGTATTGCTTCCGATGGAAGCGCGTATTTTCTCGGCTATATTTTTACAACAATAGCCATGATATGAATCAGGGTAGACTCTTTCAACTGGCAAAGTCTATAGAATCTGACATATGGGTTATGAAACCAACTTCTGTATTGTCACCCAAACATTCTTTAAGCCTCCTCATGAACCATAACCATGAATTGTCACAGTATATGGTTCCCAAAGAAAACTCTATGAGAAGGGGTTCATGATTTCCATCTAAAGCAACCGCAATGTACATGGATCTTACATACGCCCCAATTAGAGGTACTTGACCAACGAATATGATTGGTATCATAGACGTGAGAAACGTACGAATCTGTAAGTCAACATGTGTTGGATTAGGCATGTAACAACTTGAAATAACTAAATATTTATGTACTATAAGGGATTACATACCACGCATCCCAATGCCACGAAACAAATTTGGAAACGATTGTACTGATCTTTCGTAATGTACGTGTAGGTGTTAGGATTGGTTCTTTGCAGATTATGAAAAAAAGTCGGTAGGTGGAGAAGGGAGAAACTTTTTCTTAATACCTGATTAACTAAACTCATTTTCACAACTTTGGATGCCTTGTAAAAATGGAAATGCTTGTCCAATTTATAAGGAATTAGTATACATTATTCCGCAGAACTTACTTGTCAGGCCGCGTAAATGACTTGTCAGTACGCGTAACTTATTTGTCAGTCCGCGTAACCTGTTTGAATGTATGGTTTTTAAACATGGGAATTATTTTTCATAAAAAAAAAAGGATAAATACCATATTACATATAATTAAAGCAATACAAGAACAATACAAAACAAGAACAGTCAAGTAAGAGTACTAGTTAAAAAAACGGGACATTTTTCAAAAGATTCCAAGGGGCTTCATACTCGAAACTCTGTCCGCCTGCTAATGGATTTGTATTCTTCTTTAGCCGCCTCCAAGATGTCTCTTCCTCAGTATCCTTCACACGATCGTCTTCAATCTTATTATAAAGATCGTTGAATACACAACTTTTGTTTTCAATTCATACCATTTGCAGCTATTATCAAGCGTGCTGCTGCGATGGTTTCTATGGTGGTTTCAGCGTCAATGTTGAATGTATTCGTTAATAGGACCCAAAACATTCTATCCTCTAAACTGGTGTTCTCGTAGACATTAATATATGCACGAGTTAGAAGCAAATACTCGTTAGCGGTCCATGGGTTTGAACCCATTGTAAAACATACACACTACATGAACTAAAACAGATTAGATGAAGTGATACATAATTTTTTGTTGTTTTATATAGACATGACAGTCCGCATAGCTATTTGTCAATCCGCGTTACTGACTTGTCAGTCCGCATAGCTATTTGTCAGTCCGCGTTACTCACTTGTCAGTCCGCATAGCTATTTGTCAGTCCGCATAGCTATTTGTCAGTCCGCATAGCTATTTGTCAGTCCGCGTTACTGACTGTCAGTCGCATAAGCTATTTGTCAGTCCGCGTTACTGACATGACAGTCCGCATAGCTATTTGTCAGTCCGCGTTACTCACTTGTCAGTCCGCATAGCTATTTGTCAGTCCGCATAGCTATTTGTCAGTCCGCGTTACTCACTTGTCAGTCCGCGTTACCTATCTTTTTATATATAGTAAAGCAAGTATCTATATGTCCGAATTAGAGGTAAGGGATCATTACACAAAATGGCATCCAATGTACCAACGTCTTCAAATGCAGCTAATCTGTCTAATGCGTCTGCTCCAACTAATGGTACATCTCCATGGACGACAACAGAGGTGTTGGTCCTAACGCGATGTTGGATTACCGTTTACGAGGGTCTGCCGGTAATAGCTCCCCTTAATTGCCTTCTTGGTGATGAATTGTCCCGCTTAGTAGCTTTGTTCAACTATAACGTGGGACAAGGACAAAAATGACTAAAACCCGATATTGTTAGTAAATGGATGTATTTAAAGACTAAAGTCACATGGTACAATCGATGCTACAATTATGAGAAAATGCGATGTGATGCTGATTGATGATGAAGAACTTCTGAATACGTGAACGGATATATTACCTGTGCCAGTTTGATGAAACTGAGTTCGAGTATACGGACGTTTGGAATCTGGTTAGAAATAAACCTTTTTTCATGTAGACGACTCTTTTATTCGTAATGTTCTATGTAATGTTTGTTAGTCGTTCATCTTTATTTGCAATATTTTCTGTAATGTTTTATGTTATTTCAAATGTTTGTTTTGTTTTTAATGTATCGTATCTATGGGGGTGGTGAATTATGTTTAAAAAAATATATGATACAAAAGTTGTTTGTATAAACAAACTACTAAAAACAAGTATTTCATAATAATGTATACAAACTTCCAAACATAAAGTTATTTAGTATCCCATAATAATATTGTCATCCTATTTCTGTAGAGAAATCCCGCATCTCTACATGGCTTTCACTCTTCACCGGTACCCCCGAAGCAATCATTTCCATATACATGCTTACGAATACTCCACAATCTCCTCTATTAGCAATATATTCTTGTTGTGGCGCGTCTACAATATCAATAAACTCCACAACTGCGTTCTCTTTGTGTCTATCGGGAAAATCCTTCCAGTAGTCAATCGCATCTATCTCTTCGATTATACTATCCCCAAAACTTTTGAATTCTCCACCAGTCAAGTACGTTGTGAAGTAATTCATACATCGTGCTGAATCAGAAATGTGTACTTTCCAAATATCTAAATGTAGCACTGCCAAAAACCAATGGGCATGAGGAACGTTTATCGGGAATAGAACCTGCAAACAAAAACAAATGTAACAGTCATTAATTCGTTTCCTATATAAAATAAATAATTAATAAACTTAACTAACCATATCCACATCCTTCCATTTAGGATGGCCTCCAACACCATTTGCAATATTCCTAAGAAAATATGTTTTTCCGTTTTGCAAATTAAGTTCTTGAGGGACAACCGTCCACCTTGCGTTCGCCGGCCGTCTTTCCATGAGCAAGGCACTCCATATTGCAATATGCTGTACATTTTAAGATAAAAATTTTAGAGTTTTTTATATAAATTATCGTCTAAATATGTAGTAAATTAAAATTTATATTTAACGAATGTTTACCGAAGAAATTAACCACCCAGCGTCAGTAACTGCAAGTAACTCGACCAAAAACTCCACATCCAGTGTCAGCATATGCAACCTATGTTTAGTGTTCAGCTTGGAAGAGATACTATTCCATTCTTTCCAAAAAGTCAACGTACTGGCAGCTTCAAGACTGTCGAGCAGCAGATGATTTGAAACATCATTACTCTCTTCATTCACAATGTCTTCATTTGCTTTTTCAGGACTCTTCACCACTTTTTTTTTCTTTGCTTTGGTGATTTTCTTCAATTTTGGTGTGGATTGCATCTAAAAAATTATCATGTTAAATAATTATCAATACGTTAATATTTGAAAAATATACCAAATTTAAAATATGAGTTTTGTACCACTGTGAACGGAGTCCGCTGATACCATGGAAACACCTCTTTCGTTGCGGACTAACAATAGGAGTCATTTCTTTTGTGTGATGTTCAACCACGTCCAATGACGGCTCAACATGCGTAGGTGTAGACTCAAATTCCCCCTCCAAACAATGACTACCTATATTATCATAGTCAAAATGTGTATCTTCCTCCTCTTTATTTATCATCTCTTCCTCCTCTCGAAACCTTCTGTCTGGTTCAAAATTTGTGTCGGGTTCATCTTTTTCTGTAATACACGGTCTACTTTAGAACTTAAGTCAGCCACAACGCCTAGTAGACGCTTCATTAATGCCTTTGTGCTCGTCTTCTTCTTCTTCTTTTCCAATCTTGATGTGTCGTGTGACAATAACTTGTTTCTGTTTCAATATGTTGCGAGGAAGAAGCATTTGTGGCAGATTAGTCGAAGATGTTTGTATTTCGGACTTGTACATCCTTCTTCGAACAGGCGAGGAGGAAACAGGAGGTGGACTATTTCGGACGGGACTATGTTGCCGTGGGGGAGACTCTATAGGGTTAAGAGTCCATTGACATAACGAACATAAAACGGCAACATCAGCTCCTCCGGGTTTGCCTCGACATTAATAGGTTCGTTGTTAGGCTGCAAAAATCAGATTGTTAGTTTAACATGAAAATATTTTGGAAGTTGTAAATATTGATGATTGTTAATATAAAAACCAACCACAGACACGTTCATTATTCGACAACATTGAACCCAATTCAACGGTTGTTTTACTTCTCACGCCCTCATCCGTGGCAAATTCTGTGCGTGCGTATATAAAACTTGGTTGCCTCTGGGAACGTCTCCAAAAATTCATATCTATGAAAAAAATGTAAGTAATGTTCTATTATACTATAAAAGTCATGATACAAACTTATTATAATACAAAAACGAGTTCGTTCAAATTTATAGTATAAAAAAACTAAACATGATGAAACTATTAAAATGCATTAGAAACTAACCTTAAACGGAAGCATAAAATTGGGAACGGACTTTACCTTGTGTACTTTCTTCAATTCGGGATTGGCCTCCTTCCATTCTCTAAACTCTTCTATTTTCTTAAACCTTCCACGCATCATACCGAAGTAATATTTCCAGAAATACGTACCCCATGCAAAACCTGCAATTTTCAATTATTTATTATAATTAGTGAATTGCATACTACTGCGGGAATGCCTGTTTTAAATGTAATACCTGTTCCAATCATCTATATTATCAGCAAGCTTGTATACTGCTGCAGGAAAGCAGGTTTTAACGTCTTGTCTGTGTAGACCCTTCAACATAAAAAACAAGCTGGATAAGCATCACAACATCTTCATCTTTAGTGCCCAAATAATTCGGGGACATTAATTAAGTCTTTCTAAAATTTTCAGCCGCAGACGTGCATCAGAATCTCTGGAAACAACCGAGCATGGAGATTTTGAATTTGACTGGCCCTTTTCGTCATGAGTAAATCCACATAAGGATGAACTTTTAAACCACAAACAAAATATATATTCAGTTCACCAAAACCCCAACTGGATCCCCTCTACATCAAACAGAAACCTCCCATCTCAATATTTGTTGACACCTTACTTCGTGCAACATCATCTTATGCACAAGTAAGGGATCACCATGTGGGATATGCATTCCTAAGAATATTCCAAAGGGGGAAGCTTCGAATAATA